GTGCTTGAACAGGTTTCAGTTATGGGGAAATTTAATCATAGACAAAAATTATACCTTGGCACTGTCCGGTGGGCTGTAGGAACAAACAACATCAAAACTAACCTGGCCGCCCCGACTGAACTTGAAACATCCAGCTAACAGCCCCCCGATTCAGTTGTTCTTAGGCAATGTGAATTTTTTGTATATTTCATAATTAATATAGGAAATGACCATTTAGCATATTTTCCCAGTGTTGCTTTTGGTATAAGACATAGTTTAGGTTTAATTCATTTGTCAAATATGTGTATTAAATTGTTCAGCATGTAATAGGTGTTTTCTTAATAGTCCATAAACGGAAATTTCTCTATCACTTTCAGTTTGACATGTGCTTTTATCAAGGATCGGGATAATAGCTTGATGTCACCAGCATTTTCTCTGATTCCATCAGGACGATGAAAATGCCTAAAATTAATTATTTTGTGCCTCCGTGAAGTTCAGTGATAGATGAGAAAGGACAATGTGTGATAATGTTAAATTCTTTTACTCATTTGTCAAACTGTGATTTTAAAAGACTAAAGATATTTATTATTAATTCTATTCAGAAAACAGTATGGAGGTGGGCCTTTGTTTTTGCCGCTTTTTTCTTCCTCTTCCAGGGAGCCAGTGCTGTTCTGTAAGCGCATCTTAAGAAGGTCACTACACAGGCACGTCTTTCCCTCCGGCTGACTTTGGAGGGAGCTGGATCCGGGGAACAGGACGGCTGAGCCGCCCGTGGTTTCTCTCCTGGTTCTTGCAGGCCCCCGGAATCTGGAGGGTGAGGGGTGGGTTGCCCAGGAGGGGGTACCATGACGGCTGGGTACTTGGGCTGCTATACTGAGCCCCACAGACTGAGTGGCTTACCCAGCAGGAACGTTCTGTTCACAGTTCTGGACACTCGGAGCCCAGGACGAAGGTGGCTGCCGAGCCAGGCTTCCCATGGCCCCGGCAGGCTCTGTGCCGGGCTCTTCCCCCCCTCCCCCGGCTCCAGTGTCAGAGGGCGCTCTCCCCTGCGTGTGTCCCCTTCCTGCAGACCTTGGTCACACCGGGTCAGAGCCCGTCCCGGTGACCTCATCGTAAATGACCACCTGCGAAGACCCTGCTTCCAGATGAGGTCACGTTCGCTCGTAGGTCCCAGTGCCAGGACGTCGGCAGCTTTTGGGGGACAGTATTCAAGCCGTCACAGTCGCCTGAAGAACTGAGACCCCGTGAGCCCGTGAGGGGCATTGTTCTGGCCCTGTTCCTCTCTGGGCCACCTGCATCGATGGAGGGGGGCCGTGGTAAGGGGAGTCCCCCTGCAGTGCCTTTCTGTTCAGGAATTCCCGTTCTTCAGCCAAGTTGCCCATAAAGCACATTTCTGTAACATGAAGCATTTATGTTCCCTTTGCTTTATAAGCCTGGAGGTACATCTCCATGGAAGGAAAATGACGGTAAAGGACAGTGAATTCCACGTCTGGCAGACAGTGAAGGTGGCAGAATTCCGAGCATCCTGGGACCTGGACGTGTGTCACCTCAGCGACTGCACCCCCAGCCGACTGGCACAGCACACGGCCTGTGGCCTTTGCACCGGTTCCTCCCGTGAGCTCAGCGCTCTTGCCGTCACGCGGAGCTGCCACGGTCCAGCTTCTGCCCTCCCTGGTTGGGTCTGTATGTTGACTGTGCCTGTCACTGTGGACCCACAACCCCCGCTTGAGACTTCAGATTTTAAATTATTATCGGTGCACGTTTTAAAGATGGGAGCAGTTAGAAGAGAAGTGATCCACCCAGTGCACTCGAGAGACGTAAGGCAGCGCAGGCCTGGCTCGCTGGGTGTGGTCCAGAGGCCTGGGCCGAGGCTGGGAGCGCGGCCGGTGCGCAGCTGCAGGGGCGAGCGGGAGTGAGCGGGAGCGAGCAGGGGCTCCAGTTCTGACAATAAGAAATGGTGACAATTGAGCAACATTTGCCAAACAAAAGCTACTGGTCTAGAATTTATTGAGGAATTTTGTTGTTCACCAGGCGTGATCCTGCTGGGTTGCTTTATCGTTTCCCATTATTTCCAGGGAGCGAAGGGTACGACCCCTTTACCTTGTAGTTGTGCATTTACAGATTCCTGCAGACATGTGTGCCTAACAGCTGTGCAGCTCACGGGGCACAGCAGCGCCCCCTGGAGGACCAGCCTCCGGCGCGGAGAGCCAGGCAGCCTTCTCCGGTGTGTCCCGCACACACTGGCTGTCCCTGCTCCTGCCGGCTGATGGTTCCCAGGGAGCTGGCGGATGGCGGTCATACTTCACGCAGCATGGTGAGCGCGACACGGCGTGAGGTGTGAGGTGGCCGATACCCGCAGCAGGAGCAGGTGCTTGTGGCATCGCAGGCTCTCCGCGGAGTTTGGAGCCGGGAGCAGGCGCAGGGGCTCCAGGGGACAGGGCCCAGGGCTCCGCAGCTGCTCGGTGACTGGGTCCTCCACAGTCAGCTGAGGGAGACGAATGACGGTGTTGACGGCCTCCATCATGTGGGGAAAAGGGGCTACGTGCTAACCTGACAACTTGGGGGAGGCCTGCAAACTCAGAACTAAAGCAACTGCAAAGGAGGGTCTGAAAGGAAAACGTTTTTTTAAAGTAAAAGCAGTTTATGGTGCATAGTCATGTTCTAGGCCAGTATCTTCCTGACAAAGGTTCATCTCGACCGTAACGGAGCCTGTCTGTGGTCTTTGTGCACCTGCCATAACATAGCATAGCACTGGAAGGTCAAAGTCATATTCCTTTTCCCGGGCCCCTCCAAGCACAGGCACCCCTCTGCAGAGACCACAGAGCCCCTCATTGCTATTGAGTTAATTGCTGACTGTTAACTACCCTGCACCCACCTGAGTAAAAGAAGCAGGTGTCTATCATTTTACTCTATCCAATCCCAGAGGTTCCCCCCTTGGCTTTCTCCCGCCTCCCTAATCTATCAGCAATGGATGTTATGTGACCCACTTACATCTCCTATTTAGATTGCAATGCATCAAACAAGGTGAAAAACCGCCATTCTCCGGAGCATTATCTCAATCCCTTGAGAGTCTGCTTCCTGCCAGTTGTTGACAGTTTGGCTCAAATCAACTCACACTCATTTTTCACAGGTTCGAATGTTTCTTATGTGGAGGTGACAGTCACCTCAGCCATTTCAAGAGGATAAATGAAGTGAGGACAAAGTGAAACCAAAAACAAATAAAAAACTACCACCTACCTTAAATATATACAGTATAAATGGTGTGTTCATACTTTTATCATATTATTATACTTATTTTGTTGTTAATCCTCACTCAAAGACATTTTTTTATTGATTTTAGAGAGAAAAAGAGAGAGGAAAATAAATAAACACACACACACACACACACACATACTAGAGGCCCAGTGCACAGATTCGTGCACCGGTAGGGTCCCTCAGCCTGGCCTGCACCCTCTTGCAATCCGGGACTCCTCGGGGGATGTCAGACTGCCAGGTTCTGTCCAATCCCCTCAGGCCAGACTGAGGACCCCACCGGTGCATTCGTGCACCGGCCCTCTAGTATGCCTATAAGATAATCTCTTCCCACCCTCCCCTCTCCCCCTTTCCCTCTGAGATTCATCAGTCTGTTCCATGTTTCTATGCCTGTGCATTGAGCGTTTGCCCCCTGGTGGTCATTGCACATCATAGCTATCAGTCAAAGAGTTGGAAGGTCGCTTAGGCTTTTATATACATAGATAGATAGATAGATAGATAGATAGATAGATAGAGCCAATGATTGGTTGCCTCCCACACATGCTCAGGCTGGGGGGTCAAACCTACAACCGAGGTCTGGGTCCTGACTTGGGAATTGAACCCACAGTCTTTTTGTTGTATGGGAAGATGCTTTAATCAACCTGGCTTTTAATCAGGCCGGGACTATACTGATTAAAAAAACAACAAAACTCTTTCAAAAAATTGTTAGAAGAATTGGGAACCTCATGGAATTACATACCATTAAGGAATCCTCTGAGTCCCAGGTAGATCTCTCAGAATACGTTAGAAATTTCTGTGGCCACGCACGAGGAAAGGGTGAACTGTGCGGGGCACGTGTGCATTGGGAATGTGGCGCTGAGGATGTGGCGCTGGGGATGTTGGCACTGGGCATGTGGTGTAGGGATATAGGCACTGGGGATGTGGCGCTTCTGGGAAGGGGTGTGCATTGGGGATGTGTCTCTGGGGATGGTTGGTGCTGGGGATGTTGGCGCTGGGGATGTGCGTGGTGCTGGGGGCGTGGCGCTGGGGTGTGACATTGGGGTGTGACGCTGGGGGTGTGGCGCTGGGGGTGTGACACTGGGGGTGTGGCACTGGGGTGTGACACTGGGTGGGTTCTGAAGGAGAGTGTGTTAGTCACTGACAGCAGGTGCGTTGCAGAGCTGTCGCACTGTGATCCCTGGTTGAAGGGAGGCAGGTGAGGCTGCAAGTGTCCTGCCCTCAGCAGGTGCAGCTCAGCGCGGGCCCGGCTCTCGGCACCTGCACAGCCGCTGAGAAGTGCGGGCGAAATGGCCGGAGGCTGGCAGCACTCCTCTGCCTTAGACCCATGCGTGGCGACCATACATGTGATGCAGTCCTCCTTCCCGCCCCTGGCTGCCCTGACCCTTAGGTGGCATGCGTGCACCCTTCCCCCTGCCAGCCGCGTGCACCCTTTCTCCTGCCAGCCGCGTGGCGATCTGGGCGCTGGTTTACCGTGCACTGTGGTTATCTCACCTGCGTAAGAGTTCCAGTTTGTTGTCACGACCAGACCTTCCTTCCGGCCTTGACATGCGTGATTCAGTGGCGGTGTGTTGGGTTAACAGAGACAATAGGTTAAATATCTCTCTCACTTGTCTGCTTGAGGTGAGCAGATGGAGTCCTTGGAATGAAACAAGCTGCTGGCATGTGTGGTGTGCGTGCTGCCGTGGCCTGCGTGGGTCTTTGTAGGCGAGATCGTGTGATTAAAACACATTGCAGCTCATCAGAGCTCTCCAGAGAGCTCACACGCAGGGATGGCCCCCCTGCTCAGCCTGAACTGGGGTCGGGGTGTGACCGTGGCAGGTTACCCACCAGGTGGACCGGCCCCGGGCCCCGCAGTCAGGCGTGGCCGCGACGCTCGTCTCCTTGGATCGCCGCCTTCCGTGTGCGTGGAGTGAGTGTGTTGTCAGGAGGAACTGGATGTGTCTCTTCGTTCCGTGCTCAGGGATGCTGGCGGGAGGCGATGGTGGTCGGTGACGAGGCTGGAGCAAGCGGAATGAACGGGTCGTTGGTGAACCTGATGTTTTTGGAAAATCATTTTAAATCCACACGTAATAACTTGGACATATGCAAAACATGCCAGGATTGTGGGTGGGATTTAATCTCTTCATTTCCTTACCTTTGAAATGAAGGCCTTTCTAGGAGGCTTGTCACAGGATTTGGTGAAATTCCCGCAGTTGTCTGAGTGCGATTCTCATGTCAATGTCCCAGTTGCTCTCCTGAGCACCTGCCGTCCGCCAGGACCAACGCGAAGAGAAGTACAGGCCTCGCTTGGCCCACACTGAATGGATGAAACTCACTTACATTTCCGCTCCTTTAAAGACGGAAGAGAGTGAGGCAAACTGTGGCCTCTAGAGCAGAGAGTGGGGTGCTCTGGGGGGAAGCACACCAGCCACCCCACCCAGCGACGGCCCCTGAGGCTGACAGTGGCCACTGTCCCCACACACAGGGTTGGGGACGACTGCATGATCTTTAGGTCGAGCTGCCTGAGACTAAAGGGGGAAAAGCTCTTCCTCCTTCTGGTGGAGGAGGAGGAGGCAGGGAGAAGGGCTGTGCCCCGCCCGGGAGCGGAGGGCCGGGCAGAGCACTGGGTTCATGGCTCAGGGCGCACGGGAAGGCAGGAGGGTTCTACGAGTGATGAGAACTTCTCCTCTTTCGGAGTTCCAACTGGACTTCTGTTTGCCCAGACACAAGCTCCGTATAATTCGCACTGACATGCGGATGGTAATTACCAACACAAAACAAACTAAAACCCACCCGCCCCTGCTGACCCTCCTGTAAGGGCAGAAGCCTGAGCCGGGGGGCCGGTCCCTGTGATCGCGGAGAAGAAGGGGTGCTGATGGGGATGCTGGGCGTCCACACGGTCACTGCATTGAATGGCTCGGGGTTCTTCCCGCTGCAGGGGCCGTCCGGCTTCGTGGCGGCGCTGACCGGGTGGAAGGCACAGTGGAGGTGTACGCCAACGGCACGTGGGGCGCAGTCTGCAGCAGCCACTGGGACGACACGGACGCTGCGGTCGTCTGTCACCAGCTGCAGCTGGGGTGAGTCCGTGACCTCGCCGGGCTGGGCACATGACCGGGAGCGAGTGGGCACCGTGGTGCTTGTGGGAAGGTTTGTCCTCCTTCCTCATCCCACTCTCCTCAGCACAGTTGCTGAGAAGGGCCGGGTGGCAGGGAGCTCTCGCCCTCACATACTCTGTGTGCCCACGGCATTCCCCCGCTGGCCACATCACTCCCCCACTGGCCACGGCACTCCCGCGCTGGCCACGGCACTCCCCCGCTGGCCACATCACTCCCCCGCTGGCCACGGCACTCCCCCGCTGGCCACATCACTCCCCCGCTGGCCACGGCACTCCCCCGCTGGCCACGGCACTCCCCGCTGGCCACGGCACTCCCCGCTGGCCACAGAACTCTCCCGCTGGCCACATCACTCCCCCGCTGGCCACATTACTCCCCAGCTGGCCACGGCACTCCCTGGTAGCCACATCACTCCCCCACTGGCCACGGCACTCCCCCGCTGGCCACGGCACTCCCCCACTGGCCACGGCTGGGCCTGTCCTTGGTCAGGAGTGAAAGCGCTTCTTGGTCTCTCTCTTTCAGCAGATAGTTGTTTAGTCCTAGGAAGCGAGGACTTTGGTTCTAAGAACGGGAATTCCTCAGAGGCGGGTCGCCCTGGTTGCTGCCACTTGCTCTGAACTCCCTTAAGCCCCCAAGCTTCGTGCTGTGTGAGAAAGAGATGACCTTCACCTGTGCTCTCGTCCCTGATGGTTGGGTGACATGGGCCCCGCGAGGATCTGCCCGCTCCCCGCAGCCCTGGGACCTCACTAAAGTGGCCCAGCGCCCAGCGCCCTGCCCAGGCCTCCATGCCTTAGCCGAGGGTCTCGCCAGGAGCGGGGACTCCATTTTGGAGCAAAAGTTTTATTTTTGTTGTTATTCCTATTGTTCTGTTTTTGTGTCTGATTTCTTTTTTCTAAGGTCACATGCCCTATGTTTTTCTTGGCCTTTTTGACCAGAGATCTTTACAAAGCATCTTTAGCCTGCCAGTGTGGCTCAGTGGTTGAACCAGGAGGTCACAGGTCAATTCCCCAGCAGGGCACATGTCCAGGCTGCGGGCTCAATCCCCAGTAGGGGAGTGCAGGAGGCAGCCAATCCATGATTCTCTCTCAGCATTGATGTTTCTCTCTCTCTCTGCCCCTCCTTCCTCTCTGAAGTCTATAAAAAAATAAATACACACACACACACACACACACACACACACACACACTAGCGGTCTGGTGCACGAATTCGTGCACCAGTGGGGTCCCTCGACCTGGTCTGAGAGATTGGGCCAAAACCAGCTCTCTAACATCCCCCAAGCAGTGGTTCTCAACCTTCTGGCCCTTTAAATACAGTTCCTCATGTTGTGACCCAACCATAAAATTATTTACATTCATAACTGTAATGTTGCTACTGTTATAAATCGTAGTGTAAATATCTGATATGCAGGATGGTCTTAGGCGACCCCTGTGAAAGGGTCATTCGACCGCCAAAGGGGTCACGACCCACAGGTTGAGAACCACTGCTCCAAGGGGTCCTAGATTGCGAGAGGACGCAGCCAGGCCAAGGGACCCCACTGGTGCATGATCAAGGGCGGAGAGGGACACAGGAGGTTGGCCAGCCGAGGAGGAACGTGCGAGGGCTACAGGGTGTGTCCTGGCTCATTCTTGCTCCATCTTGATCCGACAGACCCCAACCACCAAGCTAACCCTACCAGGTTAGAAGGGTCTGGCTTCCTAGTTGGCTCGGTGGCACCTCCTAAAAGAACCGGATGAAGTGGGCCCTTAACCA